TTGGTTCCAAATGTAATTTTATCACTTTTTACAAATCATCAGTCTTTTCCTGAACCATGGCAAATTCTAATTTGTCGAAGTACGACTACTGCGGAGGAGATTTCGCTTTTTATAAAACGTTCATTTATTGCTGCGAAAAATGGTTATAAAGACTATTTATTTTGCATTGCAAATGTCGAATTCTTAGATTTCGAACTACAATATTATCTAGTTAAAACAATCCGCATTTTTCAAAAAGAAGAAACAAATTATCTTTTAGCTTTGGTTTGTACTCGAGAAAAGGCCACGAATCATCACATATTAGATCAATTTTCTGAAAATATACATCCCACTAATGGTCTTGATTTAGAGTCTATGAAAATTTTATATTCTAAAATTTGTAGTAATGCCATGTGCGTGACTTCAAATATGTCTGGGCAGGGCAAAACAGAATGGATTAAAGAAAGCAGTTTTGAACTAGGAAAAGTTCCTCGTACTTTATTAATCAACGATGATGTTAATTTTAGTACACTAGTTCGGAAGTTGGCTGATTGTAAATTGGGTGCCTTTGAAAGTTTACATCTAGATATTACTCTTATAACTTATCCTCACGAAATTGATTTCTTTCTGTTTGAATTATTGACACTTGGCGTAGTTTCCAATGAATTAGATATAGTGCATTTGTCTCAACCGTTAATATTTATTGAAATTGCGTCAACAATTGAGCAATATTTATTCGATTCGCTTCCTTTAGTCAAATACATACGTAGACAACACATTGAATGGAATTTAGAAAATTTTATAGTATCTCGCCATTTAAACAGTCCAATTCAAGTTGTTTCACATTATATGGATGTACATTCAAGTGGTGCTCTTGATAACACAAACATTCATTTTATAGGGAATGAGGCAATTAAAGAGCCATTGCCGGCCGAACGTTGTCGAGAATTATTGAAGCATTACTTTTTTAATGACCAATTAGATAATGTCTTTTCTTACCGATTCTTGGAAATTTTTGTTAATGTATTAGCAGATCAATTAATTCGGTT